CAGGAGAGCGCGCGAGCGCTGAATGGTTAAACACTGGCAAGAATTAAAAAGTAATGCAATTTATAAACTTTACGATGACGATTTTGTGACGATGTGACACTGCCTCGATTGTGCAAGTGACAATTCCTGTGTCAACTGTGCAGCGTGCAGCTCGCTTATAGACAGACGCGATGTGTGGTGATTTGAAGACATTTGTGTATTTTGAGAGAGAAAGAGAGAGCGGGCGCGGTGATTCACTCACGCTGTTTGTGAAATTACGTCTCACACAAGGTTTTCAAATTACTTTATATGTTATTTAATTAAGAAATATGAAGGTGAGTACCTCACTTTTAGCATTATAATTATTTCACCCGCGCCGGACAGAGACTGAGACGGTGACGCTGCATGTCGTGCCAAACCTCTCACAGCAGCGTCATCAGTTTGAGATCGTTTTTTTGAGATCGGCCTTTTTAGAGACCGCCAATCAAACATCCCAAAGCGATTATCGGCCGATAGTGATCAGTAGCCGATCAATCGGAGCACCCCTACCCAAAAGCATGGAGAAATGGACACATCTCTTACTTGGCGGTTGTCTTCTTAATCCAGTCCTCACACTCAATGCCTCCACAGAAGGGAATCTGCACAATCTGTGAGAAATTATATGAATTAGGCAAAATTCTAATTTTGATGGAAAAAGAAAGTGACTAAACATCTCTGAATCCACATTGTTTACTTACTCTTCCCTGGTCCAGATCTTTCTGGAATTGCTCCATCGTATCAGCCACAACCATGTGTTTGTGCAAATCATCAGAGGCCCTGTGACAAGTTAACAAATCCTAAGTCATTCTGCATCTGATGGAACTCAGAGCTTTAATGTGGTGACACCAGGTCAGCAGCTGTTTGTACCGTTTAAAAAGGTTGTTCTGGATCTCTTCCAGAAGGTTTAGGATTTTCTTCTCAGCGTCAGCCTCTGGCACAGTGAGCTTTTCTCCCGTGTCTCTTCTTACTGCTACAAACTGACCCCGTTTTAAGTCCTTTGGCCCAACCTCCAACCTTATGGGCACACCCTGCATTCAGAAAACAGGAAGTCAGACATAAAGCCTTTGTGTTTTTGTTATGATAATGCAGCGAGAGAGAACCTCCATACCTTCAGCTCCCAATGATTGAACTTCCAGCCAGGCGAGTAATTATCACGCAGGTCTGCCTTGACTCTGATGTCGGCCTTCTCTAGTTTAGAAAGATATTTGGAGCACTGGGCCAACAGAAGCTCTTTCTCTGCTTCTGGGAGAGTGGCTGTGATGCCACAAGGAATGATGATGACCTGTGAATCACAGTGTAAGTTTGAATACAATGCTATGATCCATTATAAACAGGAAGAAGAAATTATGGATCTCCAGCGTACCTGTAGACATGCTACTCTGGGTGGCAGCACCAGGCCCATGTTGTCTCCATGAACCATTGTCAGGACTCCGATGGTTCGTGTGGTGATGCCCCATGAGTTCTGGTAGGCCAGCTGCTTCTCACCTGGTCTCTCAGGGTCCTCCAAGACGATCTCAAACATCTTGGAGAAGTTCTGGCCCAGGTGATGAGATGTGGCACCCTGTGAGAGTGATGAGGAGAGTTTCAGATCTTACTGCAGTACTTTGATGCTGCTACAATAAATGCTAAATGCTAACTAAATGCTAAGGTAATGATAAAATGATTGATACAATAAAAAGTAACCATCTCTCTGCAGCAGTAGAGGTATGGTCTAACTCAAAGATTTTTCTCATTGTTTTTGTACGTGTGCTAGATGGAAGAAAATAAATAGTTGAATAAAATCATTATTTTTATTTTCTTTGTGCACAAAAAGTTTTCTCGTAGCTTCATAAAATTACAGTTGAACCACTGATGTCACATGGACTATTGACTACTTTAACAATGTCCTCACTACCTTTCTAGGCCTTGAACTTGTCAGTTGTGTTGCTGTCTATGCAGGGTCAGAAAGTCAAAAACATCTTCATTTGTGTTCTGAAGAACAACGAAGGTCTTACGGGTTTGGAACAACATGAGGGTAAGTAATTAGTGACAATTTTCATTTTTGGGTGAACTACCCCTTTAAATTAGGAGTATCTGGAGGTTTTGCAAATTAAAGGCTAACCTGAATAGCTCTGCCGCTTGCTGAGATGTAAGCCTCCACAGTGGTGGTGTAGTCTCCTCCTGCAAACTTCTCCTTCTCTGTTTTCCTGCCCTTGACCACAGGGATGGCCATCAGCTCCTCATACACTCGAGCATACAGGTCCAGAATCTGCAGAACCTGCACACATGACGGATAAAAGAGTAGGAGGGTCTGAACCATGGTACAAATTACTTCTGGATCTGCATGTAAATAGTAAGCTACGAGTGAGGTGTGATAGATCACATCTTACCTCCTCTACGGCTTCCTCTTTGGTGGCAAATGCTGTGTGTCCTTCTTGCCAAAGGAACTCTCTGGTTCTCAGGAAGGGCTGGGGGTGTTTGAACTCCCAACGCTGAGAAAAGCAAAAAGCGAAGTGAAGACACAGGTCCTTAATTTAGATGTGTTTGCAAAAGTGTACGACTGAGGCTAAAACTGACCACGACGTTGCACCACTGGTTGAGTTTGATTGGCAGGTCTCTGTGTGACTGGACCCACTTGGCATAGGCAGGATACATGACTGCATCAATGAAAGAAGGGATTGAATTTATTAAATAGATAATAAAAAAAGTCCATGTAAGATACAGCTGCAGTTGCTCACCTGTCTCACTAGTGGGGCGCACAGCGACGGGCTCCGCCAGCTCTGTCTTTCCTGATCTTGTCACCCAAGCAACCTACAGACATTTGCAGATAAAACGCACAAATCTGAGTTGAAGTTCCACATGCTGATAAGCCCAAATATTACATTATACTGTATGATCCACCATAATATCTCATTCCAATTATCCATTACAAAAAAAAACATTACAACATGCAGTAAAAACAATAACATCGTGAAATATTATTACAATTTAAAATAACTGTTTTCTATTGTAATATATTCTAAAATGTTCTTTATTCCTGTGATGACAAAGCGGAGTTTTCAGCATCATTACTCCAGCGTCACAAGATCCTTCAGAAATCATTCCAACATCCTGATTTGGCATTTCAGTAAAATATTATTTTTATTATCAATGTTGAAAACCGTTGTGCTGCTTATTTTTTGTGAAAATGTGATACTTTTCCATTATAAATGCTGTAATTTTTAATCAATTTATTGCATCCTTGCTGAATAATATTAATAAAGAATATATAAGTATCAAAAGTATCCATAGCATAGTGTTGCTCATATCCTTTCATTCCTTTATTTCCATCTCCTCACCTCCGGAGCAAAATCTGCTATGTGGGTCTTCTCTTTCTCCAGGGCAGCCTGAGAGACAAACATGGGGAAGTAGCAGTTCTCCACACCCAGCTTCTTGATCTCCCGGTCAAAGAATTCTTTGATGGCATCCCAGATAGCATAAGACCAGGGCCTCAACACGTAACAGCCACTGACGTCGTAATACTCGATCATCTCGGCCTTGGTGATCACCTGAAAACAGCAAAAACGATGATTTTGGTAAAAAAAAAAAAAAAAAAGCTGAACAACAAAACGGTTCTCCGACAGTTTACAAAAATATGTGAACAAAGTGTACCTGTGAGTACCAATCAGCCAGGTTTTCCTCTTTCTTTGCCTCTAGTCCCAGCCTATATTGAGAAACACAAAATAAGTGAGTGAATCTACTGTTCCTGCTTGCAAATGCCACATTTCCTCAATGCAAAACTGAATATCTTTCAGTGAAGTGTTCATAAACACAGCTTAAAGTCTGAAAAAGACATTCAGACAGTACAGCCTGTGTTTAGGGTTTAGTCTTGGAGGACGAAACCAGTTGTGGCAGTACTAAAACAACTGCAAAACTTTCTCAAGTCTCCATTCAAATAGTTAGAAACACCTTGTGGAACCACATAAAGGGTATCTGACAGCTAAGCGTTGTGATTTTGTCTCTCACCGTGTCTGTTTCTTTGGCCCCTGGCCGTCTCCTGCTCCACCTGCTCCAGAGTCCTGACCTTGTTGAGGTTTCTCTCCTCCTTTCTGCTGTTTACGTGCTCCTCCTCCTCCCCCCTGCTTCTCAGACTTGTTCTCCCGCTCTTTACGGCTCTTGTCTTCTCCTCCCGTGTTCCCTGAAGTTCCTGGAGTGGTCACAGGCTTGTACTCCTCTCCAGTGAGGGCTTTATACTGACCCTTCAGTTCAAGCAGAGTCTTCACTGCTTTATCAACTTGCTCCTAAAGACAGATTAGAATCACATGAGCACAAAAACAAAGCCACATTAGTAATTAAATTTTGCAAGCAAATGCAAACCAACCTTGGGTGCTTTCTCTGCTTTAAGCCGTCTCACTTGCTCCCCCTGCTGGGCTATGTCTGCAAACAGAGCTTGAGCCTGAGGAGAGGAGCTGGACTGAGGCTGGGAGGAGCTAGATTGGGGTGGGGCAGGGATAGATTGTACAGGGGTGGGGCCTGAGGATGGAGGCAGGCCTGGTTTGTATTCCTGTCCAGTTTGCTGCTTGTACTCGGCTTTCAGACTCAGCAACTCCTTCAATGCAGCATCTATCTGATCCTGTAAAAGTACGAGCAATTGTTAAATACTACTTATGGTTGTTTGAAAATCAGATACTTAAATATCTGAGCAATTCGAAGCAAAACTGAAATAAGTTTAAAACCTTGGGTGCCTTTTCTGTTTTCAATTTCCTCACAAGGTCTCCTTGTTGAGAGACACGATCGTAAATAGCCTTAGGAGAGCTGTCAGAGGAGTCGGACACAGCAGGGGTGGTGGCGGCAGGCTGAGCTGGAGCTGATGGAGAAGCACCAGCGGGGGGAACTCCGGGTTTGTATTCCTGCCCTGTTACCTGCTTATATTCTGCCTTCAGAGCCAAAAGCTGCTTTACTGCTGCATCAGTCTGGTCCTGGGGAGGAAAGAGAAATCATGCTGCTTTACAAACAATTACACACTGTGTTTCCTGAAATCACCACAGCAAAATTTGTTGATTATCATTTATAACTTTTTCGTTATTAATAACAATAGTCATCATATGGAACATTAAAGATATATTTTAAGAATTGTTTTATTATGTCAATAGAAAAGAAATGCAACTATGGTCTCACTTTTGGTGCTTTCTCTGCTTTCAGCTTTCTGACCAGCTCCCCTTGATCGGACACACGCCCATATATGGCAGCAGGGGAGGAGTCAGATGAAGGGGCGGATTTTGTGGGAGATGCTGTGGGAGGAGCCATGCCTGGTTTGTAGTCTTGACCAGTGAGCTGTTTAAACTCAGCTTTGAGAGCCAAGAGCTGTTTTACTGCAGCATCTACTTGCTCCTGTAAAATGAGGAAGACATATTCAATTTCACTATTTACCACAGTTATAGACAGGTCTAAACTACTAACAGACATGACATCTGATGTCATGATGCCCTGGTATATACTACTTATACCTTTTAAAGGTGCAGACACATTTACCACTACTCTGCAAAATAGTGTGGCAAAATCCATCACTTCAACAGGAAACTGTGTGATCTAAAGTTTTGTGTGACGGCGAAAAAGTTCCCAACACAGATTTCACTTGTATTCAAATTTGTCACAAAAATTCCTGATCGAGAGAAAGCAGCTTGCTTTGAAAGTTACTTCTGTGTGATACTACAAAGAAGATGCTAGACTATTAAAGGGACAGCTCACCCAAAAGTAAAATTCTGTTGTTCCAAACCTATATGAATTTCTTTCTTTTGCTGAACAAAAATTAAGATATTTTGAAAAATGTTGGTAACCAAACAATTGCTGGTCCCCACTGACTTCCATAGTGCTTTTTTTCCCCCAAACTATGGAAGTCAGTGGGGGCCAACAACTATTTGGTTACCAACATTCTTCATAATATTTTGTGTTCTACAGAAGAAAGAAACTGATGCAGAATTGGAACAACTTTAGAGTTGTAGCAATAGCTTTTTCTTGCCTGCATAATTTTGAGAATGTGTCCACCCTTTAAGACAGCATCCCAATGAAGCAGACCTTTAAAAGCAACTGAAAATGCTTAGAATGCAGAAGTGTGGCTAGAAAATGCTGTCTAGGTAGACAGCTTGCAACAGTGAGGGAAACAGACCTTGGGTGCTTTTTCAGCCTTCAGTCTTCTGACCACCTCACCCTGCTCAGAAACACGAGTGAATGGACAACCGGTGGAGGCAGGGCTTGGACTTCCTGCTGCAGGGGTGGGGGCGGAGCTCTTTGGTGCTGGGGCAGATGGAGGTGGAGCCATGCCAGGTTTGTACTCCTGTCCGGTCTGTTGTTTAAACTCAGATTTCAAAGCCAAGAGCTGCTTTACAGCAGCGTCCACTTGTTCTTTAGGGGCCTTGTCTGTCTTGAGCTGTCTGACCAGGTCTCCCTGAGCCGCAATGCTGGAGAATAGGGCAGAAGAGTCTCCTGGTGCGGCCGGCGCTGGGCTGGAGACAGGAGCCTGTTTGGCTTTGCTCAGAGGAACAGACTCTGCCTTCACCTGAATAATATGAATAGAGCGATCATTTTCTTCAACATTTGAAAACAAAGTAATTAAGAGAACGAATAGATGATCCAATTTTGTGCTCACAGGTTTAGCAGCTGTCTGGCTCTTGCTCTTGTCCTTGGAGCCAGCAGTGGGCATCTCTTTTGTGTGTCCGTCTGGGATGTAGAGCAGGACACAGGGACTCTCCTTGCAGCTGTGGGGGCTGAACAAAGAGGTCAAATTGTAAACTGAACACAAAAACAGACAGTTAAAACAGTTTATTATTCATAAGACTTCGTGCTGAATGGATAAGAGGTGTAACCTGATTGGCTCATAAGGCTGATCACAGATATAGAAACCCCGTCTCTGCAGCTGTATGAGGTCACCTTTCTTCAAGTCCTTCAGGCAAGGGTCTCCTAACATTTTCTCCTCTATCTGGAAACAAAATATTCACTTTAATACACATAACATTAAAACAATATATGAACAAGTGTTCAAAACGTACTACTTTCTTCTTGTTTTTCATTGTTCTTCTACTCGAAGAATCCTAAAAATATATTATGGTTTCCACAAAAATAGCAAGCATCACAACTGTTTTTACCATTGATTATAATAATAAATTATCTTGAGCACCAAATCAGCATATTAGAATGGTTTCTGAAGGATCATGTGAAACTAAAGTCTGGAGTAATACATTACATTTTTTTTATATATTAAAAGAGAAAACAGTTATTTTAAATAACACATTTTTTTTTAAAAATCACAATTTTATTGTTTTCTGCTGTATTTTTGAGCAAATAAATGTAGCCTTGGTGAGCATAAGAGACTTCTGAATGGTATTGTATTTTTGCACTTGTGTAATGTAGTACCGTTCATAAATGTTATGCAAATCAAGGGGCAGTTTTACTAAACAGGGCAAATTAGCGCGAGCACGCAATTCCAAAACAGCGACGATGGGCATGGACATTTCTGTGGGTGATTTACTGACAACGCAAATAAAAAAAATACAAAAAACAGATGCAACATCTCATTTACATATCGACCAACGCAATATACCAAGCGCAGCGCAAATGAGCGTAGTCACAAATAAAAAATAAAGAAACAAAGAAGCCAAAGTACGTTGAAAAGAACCGGAGGTTCACAGTACGTCCAAAAAATAACGATTTGCTAGAAGTTTTGATAGACCTGGTATTGCGTGACTCTTAGTTGAAGGTTCCAAGTAGTCTTTTATTTCCTGAAGCAAATTAAAAATAACATGGCTTGGCAAACGATATGTTCGGATATTGTGTTCTTCAGGCGTTCAAAATAAATTAATACATGTGGAAAAAAACATCTCACTTCTACCACAAACTCTCTGTTCTCTGCGATGCCTCCTCCTAGCAACAATAATTGCAGCATTTCAAGCGCAAAATAGTTTAAGACATACTTTTTTTGGGCATCAAATAATGGCGCAAATACCAGTAATTTGACGAGCGCAAACGTTAGTAAAATGCGTTGCACGATTCATTTGAATACTCTCCTCCCATAACTTTTTCGTCTGAAAGGGAAACTCCTACAAATGCATATTCAATAAGGTCAGGTGCAAAAATAACTCTGGCCACACCTTTTCAGTGCTAATTCGTCACTGCGCGTCTTTAGTAAAACCTGACAGTACAATTTTAATGCCAAAAGTAGTTTGCGCTGGTGCAAGCTGTTAGTAAAACTGGCCCCAAGTAGGGTTGGGTTTCGTTTGGGTTTTTTCCGATACCGGTGCCAAATCGATACTTTTAAAACGGTTCCGGTGCCTAAATGGTTACCTTAACCGATACTTAAAAAAAAAAATTAATAATTACCCAAAATAGGATGGATTGGCCATTATAGAGCGCTATAAACACATTTAATGTCTGCTTCATTCATACTGGACGCCAGAGGGCACCCTCGCGCAGAAACTCCACATGAGCATCACAGAAGGAATAGGACTCAGGAAATCCCTAATATGGACAAAGGCATTGCTATCGCTGTAACGGAGTAAACAGAAGATATAAACTTAACTAAACTAAACTTATATAAACGTTTTGAATGATAAAACAAAGACAATAAACACTCGACTGCGACAATGTATAGTTTATCTGTGTTATTCAAGCCATCTTTGGTATTTTCATCATAATCAAGTATATTTATAATCCATTGCTAATCGACATAGCATTTTTACCATTTACAGTATAGAACGGTAACAAAAATAGCAAAAATAGCAAGCATCACAACTGTTTTTACCATTGATTATAATAATAAATTATCTTGAGAGCATATTAGGCATATTAGAATGGTTTCTGAAGGATCATGTGAAACTAAAGTCTGGAGTAATACATTACATTTTTTTTATATATTAAAAGAGAAAACAGTTATTTTAAATAACACATTTTTTTTTAAAAATCACAATTTTATTGTTTTCTGCTGTATTTTTGAGCAAATAAATGTAGCCTTGGTGAGCATAAGAGACTTCTGAATGGTATTGTATTTTTGCACTTGTGTAATGTAGTACCGTTCATAAATGTTATGCAAATCAAGGGGCAGTTTTACTAAACAGGGCAAATTAGCGCGAGCACGCAATTCCAAAACAGCGACGATGGGCATGGACATTTCTGTGGGTGATTTACTGACAACGCAAATAAAAAAAATACAAAAAACAGATGCAACATCTCATTTACATATCGACCAACGCAATATACCAAGCGCAGCGCAAATGAGCGTAGTCACAAATAAAAAATAAAGAAACAAAGAAGCCAAAGTACGTTGAAAAGAACCGGAGGTTCACAGTACGTCCAAAAAATAACGATTTGCTAGAAGTTTTGATAGACCTGGTATTGCGTGACTCTTAGTTGAAGGTTCCAAGTAGTCTTTTATTTCCTGAAGCAAATTAAAAATAACATGGCTTGGCAAACGATATGTTCGGATATTGTGTTCTTCAGGCGTTCAAAATAAATTAATACATGTGGAAAAAAACATCTCACTTCTACCACAAACTCTCTGTTCTCTGCGATGCCTCCTCCTAGCAACAATAATTGCAGCATTTCAAGCGCAAAATAGTTTAAGACATACTTTTTTTGGGCATCAAATAATGGCGCAAATACCAGTAATTTGACGAGCGCAAACGTTAGTAAAATGCGTTGCACGATTCATTTGAATACTCTCCTCCCATAACTTTTTCGTCTGAAAGGGAAACTCCTACAAATGCATATTCAATAAGGTCAGGTGCAAAAATAACTCTGGCCACACCTTTTCAGTGCTAATTCGTCACTGCGCGTCTTTAGTAAAACCTGACAGTACAATTTTAATGCCAAAAGTAGTTTGCGCTGGTGCAAGCTGTTAGTAAAACTGGCCCCAAGTAGGGTTGGGTTTCGTTTGGGTTTTTTCCGATACCGGTGCCAAATCGATACTTTTAAAACGGTTCCGGTGCCTAAATGGTTACCTTAACCGATACTTAAAAAAAAAAATTAATAATTACCCAAAATAGGATGGATTGGCCATTATAGAGCGCTATAAACACATTTAATGTCTGCTTCATTCATACTGGACGCCAGAGGGCACCCTCGCGCAGAAACTCCACATGAGCATCACAGAAGGAATAGGACTCAGGAAATCCCTAATATGGACAAAGGCATTGCTATCGCTGTAACGGAGTAAACAGAAGATATAAACTTAACTAAACTAAACTTATATAAACGTTTTGAATGATAAAACAAAGACAATAAACACTCGACTGCGACAATGTATAGTTTATCTGTGTTATTCAAGCCATCTTTGGTATTTTCATCATAATCAAGTATATTTATAATCCATTGCTAATCGACATAGCATTTTTACCATTTACAGTATAGAACGGTATCTACCTGCTGCCATCAGAGCAAGTGTAATTGCTGCATCCTCGGATGCTCTCATTTCCCGAGTTGTTCTTTTAAGTCGGAATGTGAAAACAATATGGACACTTGCGTTACTACAAAGATGTGTTGGATTTGTATTAGAGCTTTCCGACTTGCGTTCGTGAATTTTCTCAGTCGGGAAATTATTTTTCACGTGCGAACCAGAGAACAAATATGTCAATAGATCGCTCAAGCATTGGTGGCACCGAAATGAGGCACCGAAATCTGCGTTCTGATTCGGTTCTAGTACATACCGGTTACATAGGTACCGGGTGCCATATTGGCACCGGGTTTCAGTACCCAACCCTAGCTCCAAGTGTGTAATTATGATGAACATACAGTTAGGCACATATAATTCTGTCTAACATAATTTTGTTTATTCATCACATTGCAAAAAGCCATATGTATTACGTATTTTTTAGGGCTGTGAATCTTTGGGTAGACAGCGAATTGATTCGATTCAAGAATGATTTTTGCAAATTTAGAACGAATCAATTCGATTCGATTCCATTAACAATTCGATTCTGCATTCTTTAAGTGCATTCACAGGATTATTTAAATGCTTCCCCTAAATTCTTTAAATGCATAGTCAGGGGGCATATTATACAGCAGCCTTTATGGTTAGAGAACCATAGGTTAGAGAAGAAAAAAAAAACACTTTTGTCCATTGTTAGATGCTAGTTTAATGATGCTAGCTATGGCATGTGTAGAAATATATGTAAGCCAAGATTTTAAAAAAGAGCTTTAAAAGTATTATGTATAGGCTTACATTTTGTCACACCAGGGGCGCAGCCATCATTTCAGAAGTGACAAATGTCAAATACAATAATTTTATGTATGTAGCCTATGTATTATTATAGGGCTGAACAATAATTCAATATCAATATGTATTATGTATTATAATGTTTTTCAATAACGGTGATATGATTTTTAAACTCATTTCCGATATTTCGATATACATTACCAGTGTTTCCCATACATTGATTTATTTGTGGCGTTGGACTTCGTTGAATAAACATGAGCACTGCACGTTTAAAATCAAAACGCGGTGCGGGTGTTTTATATGAATGCATCTCTGAAGGGAACCAACCGTCTTCAGAAAAGTTTCGATGGCATTTTTATTTTATCTGATAAAAAGCGTTTAAGAGCGGAGCTGATTTGATTACAGCCATTACTGGGGAAACCGCTAGCAGCGGCAATCCACCTGTCACTCAAGTGGCCACGGCCTTAATTATGCAGAACTTTAAGGCTTAATATAATTTAAACGGATGAGTTATAAAAAAAAATTCACCCCCCTCACAGTTGTCATGAAGGGCAAAATTAGCTATATAGACCAAAACCACTTTTTGTACCAGGCTGTAAACATTTTTTTCTGCTGTAAAGTTGGGCATTTTAACATGGGGAGTCTATGGGACTGACTCCCTTTTGGAGCCAGCCTCTAGCGGCCAGTCGATGAATTGCAGTTTTAGTCACTTCCGTGTTGGTTTCAAGAGAGAGGCCGAAGGCTAAATACAAATAAAAGGTGAACATTAATTTATTTGTGCCGTTTTAAAAAATTTAATAGTTTTATAGAAATAGGTTTCATAGACTTGGCAAATTAATTTTTCATAAGTTTGTAGGTACAGACATCTGTTGTGGGTGTTCTTGGCAGTTTTTATGAAGCTTTTTTAATAGTGTTCATATCGATATCGGATTTTATATTATACTCACCCGAAATTAAGAAATATATCGTGATATAAATTTTGGCCATATCGTCCGGCCCTATATATATATTTTTTTTTTTTTTTCTTTTACAAGGAATTCTTTTCTTATCTCTTACTTTGAATTTGCTATAAAGAAATCAAAATCAAATACACTGCTGGACAATAATCAATCATTTGTAATCTATAATTTTTTCCCTAATGGCAATTTTATGATTGTTTTATATACTACAAACAATTATTTTAATTTTCTGCAAAGAATAAGGTAGAAAATATACTTTATAGTTTATGTACTGTAATAAATGATATCTCAATTAGCACTGCATCATTCATAAATTGTATTTATTTATTGTGTTTATTGTTTTAACGTTTCATCAGTTCATTCTGCTTTTTTATTCAGTTTAGCTGCAGATATAGCCTGGCACGTCTTAAGTTCTATGAGCGCGAGATCACTTCTCTTTCAGTGCGAAAACTTCTTTATCTAATTTTCATAAAATAAAATGCTATAGTATTTAACTTTTCCAATCCATCGGCGAATGATGATTCTGAAAGAAAACGCACCTGATGTCTGTTTAACGCTACTTTCATGCATCTGATTATCAGATAAACCTCACGCTCTTATTTCAAGGTTGTTGAAATAAGTGGTTATTTTAACAGTTTCCTTCGTGCATTCAATTCAACGACATTGTTAAAACACATTTATCATTCAATGGAACTGTGCGTATGCTTTAGACACATTTTTGCTCGGTCCATGCAATAAATGTGCAGCCTTCGACTGCTCAGGTAATGTCGTCGGTATGACCGAGAGCCATTGAAAAACTACAAAAAAGTAAAACTACTTCACTTTAGGATTACTGGCCATGAGTACTAAGGAGAGATCACACATCAGCTGCTCAAAAAATGTGTCGGTGAGACGAACGGAGCGTGAGCGCAATCCTGTGACAGTCACATGCGGTAAATAGTGGAGCGCGTGAAGGAGAGATGCGAGGGCACGAACACTGTTCAAGACCTCCATTAATTCGTGCTTGTAGTAATTTAATGTGTAAAGAAATTGCGATTCATTCGATTCTTAATGTTTTAAATCGATTACTGTCCGAAATCGATGATGGTTTCAAGATCGATGCATATGCATTGTCAGGGTTTGTAATCGATGCATCAAGAAAACGAGTGAATCGTTACATCCCTAGTATTTATGTATTATAGATTAATTTTCACAAAAGGAGCCCAAAACAGAACTGAGAGTGAAAGAATGTGATTTTTTTTAATGTTAACTGTGATGCATGCGTTACCACAGAAACACAGTCAACACCCCAACAGACTTGAGTACCACACCTTGCTGTTCTTGTTGATGTAAGCCTTGAAATCGTCATCCTTGCCCAAAACCGGTTTGGTAATGAGGTGCTGGTAGTTGACGCAGACAGTAGGCACAAATGGAGCACGGCTGGACTCAGTGAGCCAGGTGATCTTAGTGGTCTTCTTATAATCAGTGTTCTCCAGGTTCAGACGACCATCTAGTGACGTGATTGCTCCACTGGCATCCCTGCAGACACCAAGACAAAATTCATTCAAAAGTTTGGGATCAGTTTTTTTTTTTTTTAAATACCTTTATACAGCAATGACACAATAAAACTGAGCTAAAATGACAGTAAAGACATTTATGATGTTACAAAATTTTTTTTCAACATTTTCTTAATGGCTGCTAAAAGTTAATATTTGCCATCACGTGAATAAATTACATTTTTTAAATACATATTAACAAAATAAAAGTAATTTACAATTTTAAAAGGGTTGGTGCCAGAGCACAAAAAGTAAGGGGGCATGTATATTTTTGGAGAGAGCTGCGACGAAAATTGTGTTTCGTTCACCTTAATAATTCACATTTAAAGCTATGCTTGTCTGCTGTAAAAAAAATTGAGCATTTTACCTGTGAATTTTGGTGATGATGATGTTTCCCCAGTTGATGAAGGTGACAGTCTCACCCTCTGTGAAAGTTTCTGCGTCCGCACCCTCAATAAAGACCTTTGGCCCGTACCACACTGGCTTCATTCCCACATCTGCATTCTGGAGATAGGATGTGACTCACTTAATATGTCTCTCAATGACTGTGACGGTTACTAAAAATATTTTTTATGGCACAGACAAGTTCTTTAGATGTGTGTGATTGCCGTTTTTATTACCTTGGGATGTTTGGCAACCTCTTTCATCTCCTCCTTGGCCTCAGAAATGCAGACTGGAATGACCTGCGAGCTTAGTAGGGCAGTGTATCTTGGGGCTATTGGGTCAATGACCTATACAGGGAGGGTGAGAGAGAGGGGAGAAAATAATTCTTTAGATAACAGCCCACATAAAACCACCAAAGCTTCTTTGCTCTCACACTGCTCTGTATGGATCGACAGATGAGTGAGGACAGGTAGAGAAGAGTGAAATGACGAGCAAGGAAAGCCAAACACTGCACCGAACAGACTGTTACAGCCACAGGGGTGCATAACTGATGTCCATAACTGCTTGGAACCCTTATTTAGGTAGGTTCACAACAGCAAGAGTGTAAGTATTTATTTTCTCTGGACATGAGGGAGTTGATCACCATTAACAGGGTTTCAGAAAGAAATCAAAAGCAAAAGGTTTGAGAAGTGTCACTGGGGAGCCCTAAAGCTAATTTAGGTTTGACTGAACAACATGAATTGTTCTAAATGTATGTTCACTTTCTATAGAATCTGCCAGAAGCTGTATGAGGGGAGGAAATGAATGATAGCACAAACACAGACACAAGCTGCATATGTGAGGAAGTCAGAAGGGGAAAAAAACATGAAATCGGTGTCATAGATGATTTCAAGGTGCATGATTACAGACCAGGCCGTCCAACAGGACACGCATGAGCGCCAAACTTGAAATCCTGGATTTCAAGCTATGCCGTGTCATATTCACTGTGTACTCTATGTAAAATTAACCTGAAACCTGATCTTTATTTAATGAATTATGATTCTAAATGCAGACAGACATACCGCAATAGTGAAAGGTCAAACTTTTGTTTTGTTTTAAAAGAGATTTTTCCTTTTTTGAGTGAAGAATCCATACTGGAATAAAATATTTTGCCAGATGAATAATCTGGACTTTTGTGAAAGCCATAGATCAGACAATAGAAAGTTAGAGGGAAACGAGGAACAGACAATGCAGGGGGCAGAGGAAACTTGAAGAGGAACAAGAGGAAGAGGAGTAGGAGTACCTTTTTACAGCTAACTGGCAGCTTGTAAACAGAAGAGTGAGATGCACTTTAATGTAGAGCAGGGGACACAGAGCTCAGAGACAGACAGAATGCGAAGTGTTTCAATGTGATTACGCAATCATCTAAATCAGGCCACTTTAATCATAAGACAACTCTATTAGAGGAAACCTAAACCAATGGCTATAATGTCTCTGAACAAATTAAGAGGCTTTATAGATCCTGGCTACAAAAACAACAACATTCCTGCTCTCAGACAAATTAGTACAAAGGGTTGATGGTGCTAAATGGATAGTTCAACCGAAAATGAGAAGTGTTATTATCATTTACTAACCCTCATGTCATTCCAAACCCGCAAGATCTTTAAAATAATGAAACCTCATTCCTGAATCTAAACTGGAAGTCCATTCCACCCCAACTTTCAAGCTTCAAAAAGTACATAAAGTAATTATTGAAGAAATCCATATGAATGAGCAGTTTAATCCAAGTCTCCTGAAGAGACACGATTAACTCATTTGATGAAAAGATCCAAATTAGGCTTTTATTCACAGATGAACAACACTGATCAATGCGCATACATACATCAAATGTGGTCAACAGAAGTTGTACCGCACTTGTGTGACAAGTAAAAAACTTTTCTGTGAACTGTGTTTGTGTGTTGATCAATGTCTATGTGAATAAAATTAAATCTATTTATGACAAAGTGATTAAACTGCTTGATTCATATGGATTATTTTTTACAATATCTTCATGACCTACTTAAACATAAAAGTGGCATGGGCTTTCAGTGTTGGGAAAGAAATCTCTCAGGTTCCATTGAAAATGATGAAAAAGTCTCGGGGTTGGGTTTGGAAAGACACTTTTTTGTATTATCATTTTTGGGTGAAAAATCCCTTTAAAGGAATCACTCACCCAAAAATTAAAATGTATGTAAATGATGACAGAATTATTTTTTCAGAACTCTTTCATTAAAGAAAAGGATGAGACAATGAATGGTGCCAAACCAAGAAAAGAAGAGAAGGCTGAAGCTTCCAGTAATGAGCAGAGTGTTAAAGAGCTCCGGACATGCTTGACGCAAGAAATAAAGTGCAGATGAAGAATTACAAACATGTGTGCAGCTTTTGAAAGATGATGATTATATGACTTGAATAAACACGAAAGCACAATTAAAAGCAACAGCTAAACAGTGATTCTTGTTAAATTAATTTTAAGAAAATAATATAAATTTTTCTGACTTTAAAAAAACAACAATTAAATGCAGGTGCATTCAGGTAAGTTAGTCACAGAGAATGAAAAAAGTGGTAGAGAGGGAGACGTGCAAATGTAAAAGGGAAAGACTGAGTAGAGCACTAAAGGTGAACGGCACTGAGAGGCTGGTGAGCTTAGAGGCTAAAGTTTTTAAAATTAATTTCAAAAAGTTTTGCTTGACAGAATATCACTGGGAAAGTGCAAAGATGTTAGCAAGCTGTTCAGTTTAAGGTTTTTAAACTAGTGAATGAATGGGATGACAAGGACCAGCTGGAGATCAGGTGCAGCCATGATGAACCCTGGCAAGGTTTTAATATTTACCTTTTTGTTGAACGCCCAGATCTTGTCCCACTCCATATTGACTACAGATCTCGAGCCTCCCTGTGACAGAGGAATGGGCAGAAAGCAAAAAAGAATGTGAATCAAGCGGAGTTTGATTAAATAAACAAACCTGAAGTGTAAAGACTGCACATGTGGATAAAACTATAAATGTATATTAAAAATAGGGCTGTGCGATATGGACAAAAAAAAACCTATCGCGATTTCTTTGATCCATTTTAATCACGATTTTGACACACACAGACATGCTTTACAGTCATTAATGCATTCAGTGTGAATTTGAAACATATTTCCAAAAGAAAACCAATTAAAGCTTTATCAAAAAGCTGTAACATGTCTCTAGAACAGACATAAGGCAAAATAATCACTAAGTAAAGGTGTAACAAAATGTCTCTAGAATAGACATATATGGCAGAAAAAAAGAAAAAAAAACCCGTGTCCAGGGATTTATTTTTTTGCCATGCATTGGTCATAGAGCTCTTTGTAGCGGTGCCTCAGGTGTTGAACTAGATTTGTAGCGCCAAGTTCACACGTACTCCGTCTGCAGTGCATATACAGTA